GAGAGAACTGCTGTGAAAATCAATAGAAAATCTTATTTCAATCAGAAATAAAAGATAGGGATCCGAGCTTTCGTGTTCGGACTGAACACATCATCAGCAATGACATTATGAAAATTTTTTTTTATTGTTATTAAATTAAAATCCAAATTAAATTTAAATTTAACAATAAGATAATGAAATATTACAAAATACATTGATATTGTTTATGATGTTGTTTATGTTGTTATTGTTTATAATTTTGTTAATGTTGTTGTTTGTGATGTTGTTTTTATTGTAATTATTATTCTTCCTATTTAAGATGGAACACTACCGACAATAATAACTAGAACAAGTTTTTATCTAGATAATATTCGAGAGAATATAAATACGAAATGTAAGATTGATGAAAATGAATGAAATTATACTAGACATTGTTCGAGACAATATAAACAAGAAATGTAAGATTGATGAAAATAAATGAAATTGTAGTAGATAATATGCGAGAGAACACAAATACGAAGTGTATGATTGATAAAAATGAATGAAATCGTGCTTGATATTCTTTGAGAAAATATAAGTGCGAAAGGTAATATTGATGAAAATAAATGAAATTGTAGTAGATATCATTCGCGAAAATACAAATAGATAAATGAAATTATACTAGATAATATTCAAGAGAATACAAATATGAAAGGTAAGATTGATGAAATAAATGAAATTATCGTAGGCATTGTTTGAGAAAATGTAAATATGAAAGATAAATATGAAAGGTAGGATTGATGAAAATAAATGAAATTCTACTCGATATTATTTTGAGAAACATAAATAAGAAAAGTAAGATTGATAAAAATAATAAATGAAATTAGCAATGTTAATAACTCATTTGTACCTATGTGTAGGGTGTCGACCTCTGGTGTTAAGGTGGAACACTTCTCACACCATAGACTAGTATAAGTCTATACATTAGATATTGTTTACGAAAATATGAATACGAAAGGTAGAATTAATGAAAATAAATGAAACTCTACTCAATATCATTTGAGAAAATATACACAAGAACGGTAAGGTTGCTGAAAACAATCGACATTACTAATGATTAATGTTAATATCTCATTTTTATTTATGTGGAGGGTGTCGACCTTGGTGTTAAGGTGGAAAACGTCTCACAACATAAACGAGAATAAGTCTGTAAATTAGATATTGTTTAATAAAATATAAATACGAAAGGTAGGATTGATGAAAATAAATGAAACTCTACTCAATATCATTTGAGAAAATGTAAATAAGAAAAGTAAGATTGATAAAAATAAATGAAATTACTAATGATTAATGTTAATAACTGATTTTTATTAATGTGGAGGGTGTTGATCCTGGTGTTAAGGTGGAGCACTTCTCAAAACATAAACCAGAATAAGTCTGTACACTAGATATTGTTTGAGAAATTATAAATACGAAAGGTAAGATTGATGAGAAATAAATGAAATTCCATTCGATATTATCTGAGAAAATGCAAATAAGAAAGGTGAGATTGTCGAAAGCAACTGACATTACCAATGATTAATGTTGATAACTTATTTGTATTTATGTGGAGGGTGTCGACTTTGGTATCAAGGTAGAGCACTTCTCACAACATAAAACCAAATTAAATACAAGCATTCGATATTATGTTTAGAAATTGTAAGTAAGAGGGGCAAGACAGATTGAATGAATATGGCTGATCTATGTTTATAAGGTTTTTTTTTTTCGTTTTATAAATATTATTATTATTCTTGTTTTATTTGTAGTTATGAAGGTTATTTATATGCCTATTTGAATGGTATGTTTTACTTCATTTATCGATTTTCCTACACTCCTCCTTGTTAATTTACTTTCTTTGATGACTCGTTTTCTCCAATCGCTTGCTAAGGCTAGTGTTTTGGCGTTTGTCAAGTCAAATTGATGTTTATGTGTTAGAATATGTTCTACTAATTTAGATTTTGTTGATAGGGTCCTGATATTCGCTTTATGTTCTTTCATTCGAGTTTCTTTCATGCGACTAGTTTCACCTATGTAAACTTTATTACAATCTAAACACGGGATGGAATATATAATACTATGTTCTTATGCTTTTGATTTTCATTTGTTCCTTTAAGTATAGATAAAAAGACACTTTTTAATCTCATGTTTTTCTTAAACGCAAATTGGATATTCAAATTAGGAATTAATTTTCGACAATATTTCTTAATTTTAGACGCAGAAATGACTGACTCTTGCCCATAGTATCTCATCGTAAAATAGATGGTCTTATTATTATTTATTCGTATTTGTTTGCTTTTTACGCATTCTCCTAATGAGTATTTCTCCTTCAGCTATTCCTCTTCGAATTATATGTGGCGGATATCCATTGTCAGTTAATGTTTTCCTTAACAAATTTAATTCATCTTTTATTATTGATTGTTTCGAACAAATTCTATGGATACGTATTACTTACGTTTTTATTAGACCTAACTTATAGCGACAATTTTGATTACTGTCCCAGAGCATGTATAACCCTGTATGTGTTGGTTTACGATACGATGATGTTGTTAGTTTATGTTCTTCGTCTTGAGTTACTCGAACATCCAGAAATGAGATGGAATTATTTGACTCAGGTTCAAGAGTAAATTTCAAATTATCGTGCCATTTATTTATGCGTGAGTGAAAGTCTTTAATTTTTGTTTCTGAGATGGTGAATAAACAAAAAATATCATCTACGTATCTTAACCAGGCTATGGGTCTATTCGTACGAAATCTATTTAGTTTTTCTTCCATTTTCTGCATCCATAAATCGGCTATTATAGGTGCTAAGGGATTACCCATAGCTACTCCGTCTATCTGTTTATATATCTTATTATGGAATTGGAAAGGTGCGTCTGTTATTGATAAATTTAAAAGAGTTTTCATTTGATCTCTATTGAAAGGTACATCTATTAATTTTCTAGGTGTATACAAATAATCTAATGTTATTTCTATTGCTTCATTGACTGGTACATTCGAATATAGACTTTCTACATCAAAACTACATTTTATATATGTTTTATATTTCTCGAGTACTATTTCTTTGATCTTTTTTACGAACTCAAATGAATCTTTGATATATAATGGAGCCTGTGAACGAGCATCTCTAATAGCTTTAGCTAAGTATTTCGATAGTTGATATTGATAACTTCCTATAGTTGATATTATTGGTCGTAGAGTATATCCTGTTTCATGCGTTTTAGAAAGTCCATAAAAGACTGAAATAGAGGAATATGTTGATTTTAATTGATGACGAAGTTTACTATCTATTACATTATCATTATACAATGATAAAATATATTTATTTAATTCTTCTTCTCGTTCAAGATGAAACGTATCACTATTTAATTGCTCAAATTGTTCTCCTTTTAAAATATCTTCTGCTTTTTTCATGTATGCTTCTCGATCTAATATGACTATGCTGTTACCTTTATCTGCCTTACATATGACTATATTATTATTCAATTTTAATGATTTTAATGCGGCTAATTCTTCATCTGATAGATTATTTATTTTTTTATGTTTAGATGTTCTCATGAGTTGTTGCGAAGCATTCTGTGTCTGACGACAAACTAGACGAAAAACTGAATCATGACAATGAGACTGTAATTTCATAGCATTTAGTTCTAAATCTGTTTCAAAATCCAAGAAATTCTTAATCTTATTCTCTATACAAAAAGCCCAACCACGACATAATAATCTTTCTTCTACTTCTGAAAGTGTATATGATGACATGTTATGAATTAATTTATTTTTCATTTCCTCGTAATTTTGTCCAATCGGACCTCCATTTAATATTTCTAATTTCTTTTTATGATTTATCATTACTTCACTATGTATTTTACTTGCTGAATTATAACAAAATTTCTTTACATTAATATAATCTAAACTCGAAAGACGTTTTTCTAATTCTATTAAGATTGATGATATTTGTTTTTCTAGATTTCTCGATTGTTTCTGTCTAGATTCAAATTCACGAATAAGACAATGTCGTTGAAAAAACTTATATTTTTCTGATGTTCTTAAACCTGGCTTCCATAAACGTATATTAAGAAAATTAGGTGTTAAATTATATATTAAACAACATCTAAGAAATTCAATATCGCATTTTGCTTTTTGTAATTTCTCACTTAATTTTTCACAATGTCGTATACTTACCAAAATCGATTCGCCATATTTCAAACGAAGATTAGAAATAAATTTAGGAGAGAGAGCAGTAGGTAAAAGATAAGAAAAGAAAGAGAGAACTGCTGTGAAAATCATTAGAAAATCTTATTTCAATCAGAAATAAAAGATAGGGATTCAAGCTTTCGTGTTCGGACTGAACACATCATCAGGAATGACAATATAAAATCATTCATTGCATTTATATAATCAGTGAAAAAGAAAAGGAAAAAACATAAAAGTCATATATCAATACATAAGAGAACGTATATACGATCAAATGGTCAATATCGGTAATAACAATCAAACAAATCGACAACGTTTTTAACATGGCACTTTTTTTATATTTTATTAAAGAAAAACATTATTATATAAATATTTAACCAAAAACTTATATTATTCATACAAGTATTGTTTTCAATCAACCGATTCATTACATTACGTCCCTTTCTTCATTATCCTCATTGAAATTGAAAAAATACTCAACTAACAAATCAAACATATGTTATATGCTTATTTTAATACATTAAATAAGAAAAAAAATAATTTCAATGAAATTCAACGTGTAGTTTTAATAAACAAACATTATATATTAATTCTATTAGATATCATTAAAATCGAAAATTCATATCAATCCCAATGAATATTATAAACATTAACTATTTATATTCATCTAATTTGTTAATATGAAAATCAACTATTTATATTGATACTATTTGGCATCATTAACAACACAACGATTCATATCAACCTTTTATATTATTAAAATCATTTTTTTTATATATTATTTTTTTTATCAATATTGTCAAACTCAAATGTTATACATATATGTGGATATTCCAAGGGGGGAAAAATCTCTATTCGGGCATTCCGAATGGCTCCGAATGGCCAGGACTGGATAGGAATAGATGGGAATGGATGGGAATGGCTGCGAATGAATGTGAATCGTTGGGAATGGAGGCGAATGGATG